CTTATACTGCCTAGGGGTGATACCACCTACAGTGAACTGATGTGGGCCTTCCCACATCAGTAATTAAAATGCCCACAGACTTACCTGCAGGCAATCTGATGAGGTAGATGATCCTTCAGTTAAGGTTCCCTTCTTTCCAATGTTCGTGTCAGGTTGACTGACCAGCACAACACCAGAACTTAGTTTTGACTACTTACGTCATGCTTTCCTTCTTTGTTTTTCTTTCTTTTCCACCACCCCAATTTTCTTGAACATATTACCTACAGTTTTTTGTTTCTTTATTTTTAAATATTTGTTTATTTAAAGAATCTCAATTTTGTAGCTCTGGCTGACCTTGAGCTCTCATGGTGGTAGTTCTGTCTCAACCCCTCTAATGGAGGATTATAGGGCTTATGTGTCTTACTTTGGTTTCTGTTGCTGTGATAAAAGATGACCACAAAGCGCCTTGGGGAGGAAAGGCGTTATGTTATCTTACAATCCTTCATGAAGGGAATTCAGGGCAGGAACCGGGAGGCATGAACTGAAGCAGAGACCATGGAGGAACACTGGTTACTGCTTTGCTCCTTATAGTTTGCCTTCCATAGCTTGCTTAGCCAGCTTTCTTACACAACCCAATACCACCTACCCAGAGGTGGTATACCACACACAGTGAGCCAGACACAGCAATCATTAATCAAGAAAATGCTTTGCAGACTTGCCTACAGGTGATCTGATGAAGGCATTTCTCTGTTGATACCAGATGTGTCAAAGTTTGTGTCAAGTTGATAAAAACCAACAAGTACAAGATATGAACCTACACCACGAATGACTAATTATGGCTGTAAATCCTTTTGCACTTGCTCCATTAGCTGAGTAGTATTGTGTATGTTAATTAGATTTTTTTCCCTTGAAATTTGGATAAAGGTTCTTTTTGGGGGGGGTATGTTTTATAAATCTGTTTTAAGGCTAGATATTGTACATAAAAACTTATAGCAACTCCAGATGATGTTAACATTGTCTGGAAAATTTCTTGCAGTATTTGGGGTTGAGCTGTGCCAGGGCTTGTCTGTTGTTTTGGAACTGTCTGGGGGAGCCCCATGGTTTACCATTTCCAGGTTCACATTCACACTCAAGATGAGTCCTTTTGAGTTCCCAACTTAATGAGGAGAGCCACGCTGTACTCCTTACTTTGGGCAGATCAATTTACCATTTCATAGCAACTGTTCCATGTGTTCAGGGTGGTTTTCTGAACATTAAACCAGCATTTTTAGATCATTTTCCTTTAAGTTGTCATTTTTTTCTATATTTATTAGACTATTTTCATTATATTGGAATATTTTTAATGTCATGGGACCAAACCAGACTATCTTTTGTTTAAAACATTGATCATGTGTGGTAGAGGAGTGCACATGTTCCATGGCACACACATGGAGACCAGAGAACAGCTTGTAAGAATCAATTTTCTCCTTCCACTGTGTGGCTTCCATCCAGGAGGCAAGTGCCATTACCTCTGGGGCCATCTCACCAGCCCCAGACTGTCTTTCATACCATCTTAATTTCTTGTTATGACTGGACAGGGTTTGGGGGGATTATAATATAATATATAAATATAATATATATAATTATATATAAATATAATTATAATATTATTACATCATTTTCCTCTTCCCTTTTTTCCCTGTAAACTTTCCCACCTTGATCTCTAAAATTCATGGCCTCTTTTTTTTTTCCCTTAATCATTGAAGTGGAGAGGCAGTTG